TTTATAAAATTAACAGATCTGAAAATTAATTACATTGATAAAAAAAATGGAAGCAAAAAACGCAAACCCTGCACAAAATAGTAGCCTATCGGTAAATTAATAAAAATTACGTTTCAAGCATGCAAAAAATTATTAAATTAATAAATAAACTGCCATAAAGAGAGTAAAATAAACAAATCTGCATATCTTGCAAATAAATAAATTAATAGATGAAAAAATCGTAAAATAAAAACAAATGTGCAATCCCTTGCCAAAGTAATAAATGAGTACAGTTAAACAAGTTGTATTTAAATTAGGGCTGTCAAATGATTAATCGTGATTAATCACATCCAAAATAAAAGGTTTTTTTTACATAATATATGTGGGTGCACTGTGTATAATTATTTTATATATATAAATACACACACATGCTTGTATATATTTAAGAAATATTTTCATGTATATACTGTATATATAGATTTATATATAATTTATATTATATATAAATATAAATATTTTATATATAAATATTTTTTTTCTTAAATATACATGCATGTGTGTGTATTTATATATATACAAAATAATTATACACAGTGCACCCACATATATTATGTAAAAAAAACTTTTATTTTGGATGTGATTAATCATGATTAATCATTTGACAGCCCTAATTTAAATTAATAAATAAACAAACACTCCCACAAATTAGTAAAATGCACAGATGTGCAAGCATGCACGTAAAATAATTGATAAACTAAAAAAAGTTAAAAAAATAAAATAAAATAAAAAACATGCCCTAATCACAAATTAATTCAAATAAACAATGAGATAAGTGGGGACAAATGTCCCAATCTATATGGCAAAAAGTGTCCCAATTTACCTGAATTCAATATTTTATTTTATTTCGATAGTGTTGCCATTGAAACGCATAAATTCGAGTCACGAACCGCTCCGAGTTTAACATCACGGGTTTCCGTCTCTTCCCAAATACGGTAGATATGACGTGAACGCAGCATAAACTTGTAGTTTTGGTTCAGGAGGAACTGTAAAAGGCGACTGATGTTTCGTTTGCAGTGCTCGGTGACTGACGTCTGTCTAATTCTGCATATCACGAAACACGCTGATGACGTGTGATGTCTGCGCGAGCAGGTGTGCGGACGTATGCAAATACATACGTAGGAAATCGTATGGAATGATTGGACGAATATTTCACAGTCCTACGCCTTCCACAGACGATATACAGTCAAACCAAAAATTATTCAGACACCAGATTTAATTTTTGATATTTTTTTTTCTAGTGTGTGCAGGACACTATAGATTAGTGGTTCTCAACGGGGGCGTTCAGAGAACAACGGGGGGCGTTAGACGCAAGAGTCTTGAAAGGGGGGCGTTCAGGTGTTAATGGGTGGCGTTCACGAGTAACGGAAATTTGTGTTCATTTACTGTGATTCATTTTAAGCATTTAGTAATTTATTTGTAATAAACACTTTAAGTGGGCTATTAAAAAAGTGTTAGGACCATATATGTTAAATTATGTTGTAAAACATATGCGTAGATTGTGATGTCATATTGTGTGTGCGCGCACGCCTATGGTGCGCGTGAAAGAAAACGTCAGCAGCGCTCAAATAAAAAAAAGAAAATCATTCGTCCGCGGCCGTTCTAGCCTACTCCTGACCGCAAGTCCACCGTCAGTATACTAGCAGGTTTTTTGTGTTCATTTCTATTGCATTACGATTGAAAGCAGTATCAATAATGTCAAAAATATAATGTGCAGTCAAGTTCGGGTGTGAATGCTGTTTAAATGAGTGTTCTCACCGACACGCTTGTTGTGATTCTTCTTCCAGTTTAATGTACATGTAGCCTAAGCTATGTATCGTTACTTTTGCAACGACTATATTATTTTTCCAGTTATAGACCAGCGCTCTGACTAGAATCCAGCGCTGGCTAGAATCTGCATTCACGCGCTCAAACATGTGTTTCGCGCTGACAACAATCCAGCGCTGGCTAGAGTCACGCAGCGGAGGAATGGAAAGTTGACATGCCATTAAAAAGTATTGACTTAAGTATTGAAACACTTCTATTTTTTCAAATATTTTCAATAAATCATGTTCCCATTTACTCCGGCGACGAATTTCAAAATTAAACTAAATTCTATTTATAAGGTAAAACTTTAAATTTTTTAGGCATTAACTAATTCCAATGCCTAATGCCAAAATGTTTTCTTTGTTCACCAAGTAATTTACTGGTCAGGCATTATTGTTAACTCAATTTGAAAATGACAATTTGATGGATAATTTTTATATTATATTAATATTTAAATATATTCTGCAATCACATTTTGGTAATGTAGGCTATTCATTCCGCCATCACATCTGAGAGCGAAACGCTGCTTGGGTAAGGTTAGTTTCAAGATATAAAAACAATTAATAACACAATAATAATTGAATTGTTCGTGTGTTTATTCTTGTTAGAAGATTTTTCTTTTTACTGATTATGAAAACAAATTAATCACGACAAACCAAATTAATTGTAACTGTATTAATTATACCTGATACCAAGGTATTTTAGGCCTACAATTTTAACATAATTTTTCATGAAAAATCATGATTGTATATTTATTTTTAAGTAAGGTTAATGTAAGCAGCTTCTTGCAATACTCTCCTAAATGCTAATAAAACCTACGTGCAAACATTACCGCTTTAATGACTGTCCTTTATTTTTCAGTGCATTTGTTTTATAATATATGGCTATTTATGTCATGGGATTAATATAATATAACTATTATTATGTAGTAGTGTAATGTAGACAAACACAACTAAAAGAGGTTTGAATTTTTCTTTGTTTAATTTGCACACTGAATATGGGTTGGAGCTTTTAATTTTGAACTCTCAAAGTGCACCAGATTGATGCATTTAACATTAAAATGCACACATTTTTCTTACGGGGGGCTTGCCCCCCGAACCCCCCTAGAAGGCCCGAGGTTCACCCACCACAGATTTACCAAAAATCCTGTGAGAAACACTGCTATTGCTATTCAATGCAGTTTATAGCTTGTTTTTTGGATTAATCGCTGTGGAGTATAGTTCGATTGTATTAATAAATGACAATTTTGTACTTATTTCATCTGTTACTCGTTCCTGCTCGCTCATTAGTTTGGGGGTGGGGGGCGGTCGGGGACCTGGATATTGGATAGGGGGCGCTGGCCCAAAAAAGGTTGAGAACCACTGCTATAGATCATTTATGTAAGTGAGGAGAGCAAAATAAAGTAAACTGTGACATATTACACCCAATAATTCTTCATACAGTGACTACCAGTAGTATCTATAATAAATTTGGGACCAAAAATGATTCCGACACTTTGACCTGATCATGTTTTCTTAAGTGTTTTTTCTGTAACTGCTAATGCTCTTTTTACACACAGACTGAACAACATGAAGCATTGCTTGGTGATTGGTTGAGCTAAACTGGTATTATATAATTGTGTAGTTAAATTTAACAGCTGACAGATATTCAGCATAATTCATCTGTGAGAGTCTAACAGAAGGACGGACAAAACCAGTCAAATATCAACTGATCTAATAACTCTGAGTTCTGCTCATATTTTATAACCATTTTTTTAAACTATAGCGAATAAACTGTGATAATGTGAGAAATGTTGAATAAATTCTGGTTTGACTGTATATACACACATGTAAACACACTTAGTGAGATTACTATCAGGATGTGAAGAGACTTTCAACCAACATAAAAAAATAAATAATTCTGGAACAAATCACCTACCCTGCCTTTAAGCTCTGAAACGTGCAAGATGTTTTAATAGTATAAAGACCTCTTATATGACAAAAGATGAAGGCTAATTTGATTTATCATGTCATGACCCCTTTAAAAAAAAGTGCACACTGTCAGTTTTGATTTCATCCTCTCCACAGACCTTCCTCCAGTCTGTGGGCGCACGGCTGAGTGAACATGCGTGAGGCGGAGAGCCAGCAGAAGCTGCATCGCTCTGGGGCTCCTGGGTGGCTCGCCAACACTGATATCTCCTGCTTCACTTCTGCTCACTGCCTCTGAGAACTCAACTCAAGATAAACACAGCTTTTAAAGCTCAGATTAAAACCTTTCTGTTTAGAATAGCTTTTAGTGATTTGATTTTAGGTTTGATCTGTATGTCTATCTTTTTGCATAGTTTTGCATTTTACTTTTATGTTGTACGGTGTCCTTGAGTGCCTTAAAATGCGCCTATAAATAAAAGGTATTCTTTTTATTATTATTACTAATTTGGTGCTACTTATCCCTACTGGTCTGGTGGAAGATTTTAATTTTAATTCATAACCATTTACAATATGAAAAATGTGCATGCTTGCACATTTATTTATTTTTATTAATGTATTCAATTTTAGCAGGATTTGCATTTTTGTGATTTTTTTATGCATTTATTAGATTTGGCAGAATTTGCATTTGAGTTGTATTTGTACTCATTTATTATAATTTTTTGGTTTTCACATTTGCTTTACTTCACCATGTCTTGCGTTGTTTTTCTTTTACGATAATCAAGCGTAAAGCAATAGTTTACCCAAAATGAAAATCCCGTCATTATTTACTCGTTCAAAGTGAAGATATTCAGTGAATGACGACTTGAATTTAAGTCTGTTCATCACACACTCAATCTAAATGTGCATTTTTTTTCATTTCTGAAGATTGTCTGACCTTCCACTTTCAATGAAAGGAAAAAGAGAAAAGCGTGGATATTGTGGTAAACATCTCCATAGGAGAAAGAAAGCCATGAAAATGATGAGTATTGTAATTTTTGGGGGAAAAACAGGTCATAAATGAAGCATATATGAATAATAACAGTGCAAACATGAGAGTGTTGAATCTGCAAACACACCCATCCACTGCTCAACAAACACTGAAGCGCGTGACAAAGAGAAACAAATGCAGTGGAGAAGCAAAATCGCACTTTCCCTTTTAATGCATGGCTCGATATATACTGTATCAGTGCCCGAAGCATTGCTCTTTCTCACCGAGCATGGAGAAGATGAAGTCCTTGGCCGTGTGGATCTCGAGCGCACGCTGGTCGTCATACTCCCGCTGCTCGTGTTTGCTGAATTCCCCGATCAGTCGGTTGAGCTCCTCGATCCTGGTACCGGACCTGAAGTCCAGCTCGGGGGGGTTCGGGACGTGTTTGGTGCTGCTCGGGGTGGCGGTGGGGCTGTTGCCAGCAGAACCAGCCCGGCTGGAGAGCCCAGGCGCCGCCATGTTCGCGAGGAGACGGTGAATCGCACCGGAGCGCACGCGCTGTACTGGCCGAGCACCGGAGGGCGTGAGTGATGATGATGATGATGCGCACCGGACGATCGGGCGGAGGAGCGCAGATTTTTTTTTTTCCTTATTAGACAAAGAAGTGTAAAAACCCATTGCCTCAGAAAATAAGTCAGTTAAATATCATAAAAGCAAATGCGAAAAGCTAAATAATAAATGCTGCCAAATATCTGCAAATCGGCCAATAAATAGGCTAATTACATGAACAAATAAACAAACGATGCCAAAAATTTATAGAATTGACAAATCTGCAAATTAATTAATTTAATTAAAAAAAAAGCCTGCCAAAATAATAAATACATTTTAAAAAGTTTCAAGCATGCAAAAAATAATTAAATTAATAAATAAACAAACTGCCATAAAGAGAGTAAAATAAACAAATCTGCATATCTTGCGAATAAATTAATTAATAGATGAAAAAATCGTAAAATAAAATAAAGTAAATAAAGTAAAATAAAATAAAGTAAAATTCGTAAAATACACAGATGTGCAAGCATGCACGTAAAATAATGAATTAATAAATAAAAAAAATAAAAAAACATACCCTAATCACAAATGAATTCAAATAGATTGGGACATTTTTTCCTCACTTATCTCAATGGCAAAAAATGTCCCAATTTACCTGAATTCAATATTTTATTTTATTTTATTTTATTTTATTTTATTTACAGATTGTGTGTCAATCAATGACCCTCCTCCTCCAGCAGAGGGCGCTGTGGGTGTGGTCTCTGAACCGGAAGCGGAACCGGAAACTGAAGAAGATGCGAAAGCAGCATTGGGATCGCAGCAGTGATGATGGCGGTGAGGGGTTTAGTGTTTAGATGGGTTACAGGGGACATCAGCAAAACACACTACCTGACGAACAGGTAACAAACACTCCTTTGACTCTGTGTTTATTTACTGAGCGCCTCAGATCCTCTGTTTATCCTCTGGCATGACATGAGCTATAGTGGTTGTTATCAGATCATGCAAATATGCTTGATAATAATGCAATCTAACGGAATGAATTGAATAATAAACACTTCATTACGAACTTATGTTTAAGGTTAGTTCTGTCATGGCATTTGTAGATGTAAACAATGCGTTTTGATTCATTTTATGACACATGAAATAAAAATGGACATTATGACAATATAACTTGCTTCAGAAACCAAGGCTGTGCAACCATTAATCGCATCCAAAATAAAAGTTTGTGTTTACATAATATATGCGTTTTTACTGTGTATAATTATTTTGTATATATAAATACACGCATATGTATATATTTATGAAATATTTTAATGTATATGGTGTATATATATTTATACATATTAATTTATATTAAATATAAATATATGATATATGAATACATTTTTCTTAAATATATGCAATGCATATGTGTATTTATATATACAAAATAATTATGCACACACAGTGTACACACACATGTAAACACATACTTTTATTTTGGATGCGATTAATCGTTGCCCTGCACACATTTTTTTTTAATAATAATCATATATATATATATATATATATATATATATACACTCACCGGCCACTTTATTAGGTACCCCATGCTAGTAACGGGTTGGACCCCCTTTTGCCTTCAGAACTGCCTCAATTCTTCGTGGCATAGATTCAACAAGGTGCTGGAAGCATTCCTCAGGGAGTTTGGTCCATATTGACATGATGGCATCACACAGTTGCCGCAGATTTGTCGGCTGCACATCCATGATGCGAATCTCCCGTTCCACCACATCCCAAAGATGCTCTATTGGGTTGAGATCTGGTGACTGTGGAGGCCATTTTAGTACAGTGAACTCATTGTCATGTTCAAGAAACCAATTTGAAATGATTAGAGCTTTGTGACATGGTGGAAGTAGCCATCAGAGGATGGGTACATGGTGGCCATAAAGGGATGGACATGGTCAGAAACAATGCTCAGGTAGGCCGTGGCATTTAAACGATGCCCAATTGGCACTAAGGGGCCTAAAGTGTGCCAGGAAAACATCCCCCACACCATTACACCACCACCACCAGCCTGCACAGTGGTAACAAGGCATGATGGTTCCATGTTCTCATTCTGTTTACGCCAAATTCTGACTCTAACATCTGAATGTCTCAACAGAAATCGAGACTCATCAGACCAGGCAACATTTTTCCAGTCTTCAACTGTTCAATTTTGGTGAGCTCTTGCAAATTGTAGCCTCTTTTTCCTATTTGTAGTGGAGATGAGTGGTACCCGGTGGAGTCTTCTGCTGTTGTAGCCCATCCGCCTCAAGGTTGTGCGTGTTGTGGCTTCACAAATACTTTGCTGCATACCTCGGTTGTAACGAGTGGTTATTTCAGTCACTGTTGCCCTTCTATCAGCTCGAACCAGTCTGGCCATTCTCCTCTGACCTCTGGCATCAACAAGGCATTTCCGCCCACAGAACTGCCGCTCACTGGATGTTTTTTCTTTTTCGGACCATTCTCTGTAAACCCTAGAGATGGTTGTGTGTGAAAATCCCAGTAGATTAGCAGTTTCTGAAATACTCAGACCAGCCCTTCTGGCACCAACAATCATGCCACGTTTAAAGTCACTCAAATCAACTTTCTTCCCCATACTGATGCTTGGTTTGAACTGCAGGAGATTGTCTTGACCATGTCTACATGCCTAAATGCACTGAGTTGCCGCCATGTGATTGGCTGCTTAGAAATTAAGTGTTAACGAGCAGTTGGACAGGTGTACCTAATAAAGTGGCCGGTGAGTGTATATATATATATATATATATATATCACTCAAGTAAATCGTCACATTACTGAAAATGAATACATAAAAAAAAACTAATGTCTATTTGTTTTTATGTTTCCCACATTCCATCCACTGGCAAATCAAATCACTATTAATGCATTTTAATGCTATATTATATCATGGTTGTGCTCCAAATAGATTGACGCTCCAGACGCAGCAGAGGTGTGGCTTCCGCAAGGTAGCAAAGAAGGGCGAGCCGAAGAAGGGCGTGGCGGAAGAAGCAGAGACGAATGAAATCCTACACAAGAAGGACGTGGCTCCGCCCCCAGACCCGCCCATCCCACACACACCACACACACCCAGCCGGTCGTTTGGCAGACTGGTCAAACCATTTGTCTTCACCATAGGGGTAGGTATATTTTCTGACACATGATGGAGCTTGTTCATGAAACATTCATAAACAAAATTATGCATAAATCGTTTAAAAAATCCATTCATATTTGATATAGTTTATGGAGTTATTTAATCTGGATTTTGATCTGGTTTATGGAGTTATTTAATGGTAAATGGACTGCATTTATATAGCGCTTTCACAGACCCAATGGCCACCAAAGCGCTTTACATTTTGGCTCACATTCACCCATTCACACACCGACGGCGGTGTCAGCCATACAAGCTGGGGTTAGGTGTCTTGCTCATGGACACCTCGACACTTGGTCAGGTGGAACCGGGGATTGAACCACCAACCTTCCGGTTTGTAGACAACCTACACGAACCACTGAGCCACTGCCTTCCCAGCATCTGGATTCTTGATTCTGGTCTGGTTTATGGAGTTATTTAATCTGGATTTGATCTGGTTTATGGAGTTATTTAATCTGGATTTGGTTTATGGAGTTATTTAATCTGGATTCTGATCTGGTTTATGGAGTTATTTAATCGGAATTCTAATCTGGTTTGTGCAGTTATTCAATCAGGATTCTGATCTGGTTTGTGCAGTTATTTAATCTGGATTCTGATCTGGTTTTTGCATTTTTAAAATCTGGAGTCTGGTTTCTGCAGTTATTTAATCTGGATTCTGATCTGGTTTGTGCAATTATTTAATCTGGATTCTCATCTGGTTTATGGAGTTATTTAATCTGGATTCTAAACTGATTTATGCAGGTATTTAATCTGGATTCTCATCTGGTTTATGCAGTTATTTAATCTGAATTCTTATCTGGTTTGTGCAGTTATTTATTCTGGTTTATGCCGTTATTTAATCTGGATTCTGATCTGGTTTATGCAGTTATTTAATCTGGATTTTGATATGGTTTATGCAGATATTTAATCTGGATTATGATCTGGTTTATGCAGTTATTTAATTTGGATTCTGATCTGGTTTATGCGGTTATTTAATCTGGATTATGATCTGGTTTATGCAGTTATTTAATCTGGATTCTGATTTGGTTTGTGCAGTTATTTAATATGGATTCTCATCTGGTTTATGCAGTTATTTAATCTGAATTCTTATCTCATTTGTGCATTTATTTAATCTGGTTTATGCCGTTATTTAATCTGGATTCTGATCTTGTTTATGCAGTTATTTAATCTGGATTCTGATCTTGTTTATGCGGTTATTTAATATGGTTTCTGATCTTGTTTTTGCAGTTATTTAATCTGGATTCTGATCTGGTTTATGCGGTTATTTAATATGGTTTCTGATCTTGTTTTTGCAGTTATTTAATCTGGATTCTGATCTGGTTTACGCAGTTATTCAATCTGGATTATATTATTATACTTTAATTAATCAGTTCAGTGTGACAGTTGATGTATTAAGGCGTTTAAATGCCATTTACACCAATTCATTTTGCCTGTATTTCATGAAAAAGGTCCAATATGTGTGTGAATTTATATATATATATATATTTTTTAATGTTTTGCTCTATGTAAGAGAATATCGTAATAACTCCAGCTCAGTTTACAGGTTGTTCATTCGGCGGAGCAGCAATATGGCAGTACGAAAGTTTAAAATCTCGTGTACAGAGTTACTTTGACGATGTCAAAGCAGATTGGCTGGAGAAGATACGGCCTCAGAAACAAGGAGATTTACGCAAACAGGTGTGTGTGTGTGTGTGTGTATGTTTAATGGAAATATGTTTTCTTCTATGTGTGTTTAATGAACATTTTGTTGTCTGCAGGTGAATCAGTGGTGGAACAATTTAAGTGAAGGACAGAAAACAGTCACAGGTCAGACACAATGAATGACGCAAACAATTCTCTTTACACAGATGAGCGATTTAGATTGTGAAGACAATGTGTTTAATAAAGTGTAATTATTTAATTAAACAGATGCTTTTCATCTATTTCTCTGTGCGCTGTTACCTCTGAACCTCTCTCTCTCTCTCTCTCTCTCTCTCTTTCATTTTTGGTTTCAAGTTTTGGGGGGAAAAAGAAAAAAGGGCAACATGTTAATTTTGTTATTGGAAAAGCGAAAATTGATATTTATCTGACAAGAAAGGAAAAAATAGAAGGTGAAGTTGGTCAGGGTGTAGTAAAAGTTTTTAAAGGGTCACTCCACCCATTTCAACATTAATCTTTATTGAAAGTGGGTCATATATGTAGTTGAAATGTAAAAGAATTTTTGAATTTGGTGCCCTCTTGACCGAGAAAAGACAGAAAATAACTTTAAGGCACATTTGTATTTAAGACAACAACTCCCGCAATGCACCACATTGCACAGCTCCGCAAGCCACTCCCACTAATCCAGAACAGCGCAAACATCAGAGAAATCACTCTTCCGTCTACAAGGCTAGCTGTCAAAAGAGTTTGAAATTCATTTCACACAAAATGTCTAGTTAGTTGGCTGTGGCGAGCAGGACGAGGGACGTCAGAGGACGGCGGGAGTGATAATGAATGACACCTGTGAGACGCAGCGGTCTCATATCTCTCACGGAGGAGATATCTCTCACAACAACGAACCCCGTTACATTGGCAAACTCATTAGCGAATTACTCCTCGTTTGTATTTCTTTCTATATGGTGAATTATTGCATTATACCTGGATGTTCAGTCAGGCGAAACTAGGATGGTTCACATCACAACACAAACGTCCGTGTGCTCGTCTGATTCAGAGATTTCGTCCAGGAGAAATTGCCATCGTTGAAATTCTCTGCAGCAGACGGACTCTATCTGTGTCCGTAGCGCACAGCGAGAGCACAGGCACCAGCAGTCCGCCCAGCTCGAGCCAGTCCGGGCTCCTCGTCCGCCTCCTGATCCTCCATCAGCCTCAGCTGCTCTTCACTATATTGCGGCTCGTAAAAATAGCCACGAACATCGGATTCGAGCAGCAGAATTTCAAAATCCTCTTCTTCCATATCATGTTTAGTTTCCTCCGCATTGTCGTAACTTCCTATCTCCACAGCGCTTGTTAGCTTAGCTTATAAACAAGATGGCTGATATTGATTTCAGTATCTGCAAGTGAAGTCCCACCCACTGATCTGTGATAGCTCTGTTAGCGCATTAGGTCCAACCCCCTATGGGCGGGTTTGAAAGGGTGGGAACTTGTGCTTGTAGTCTTTACAGAAATCCCCCCCTCTTACACTTCCTCCTACAATGACGTAAAATGACGATTTTTGCGTCATTGTAGGAGGAAGTGAAAAAGGTAAATAGCGGATTTCTCCCCTCTCAGGGGAAAATGAGAGAGTTTTGCACGACCATTCAATAGTATGACTGGGTTTCTAACAATGGAAAGCTTAATGCAAATGGGTGGAGTGACCCTTTAAGAGTTTAATAAAAGTAAGAATTAAATTTGATTTTTTATTTTATAAAACTATGAAGAGTATAGAGGAATTGTACACTATATGGAATTATAAAGAAATGTTGTGCTTTGTTAGAGATGGTGAATTAATTTCTCTCTCTCTCTCTCTCTCTCTCTCTCAGGCATCATTGCAGCGAATGTGTTGGTGTTTTGTTGTTGGAGAGTTCCATCTCTGCAGCGCTTCATGCTCAACTACTTCACATCTAACCCTGCAGCCAGTGCGTGAAGTCGTCTGTTTATCTTTCATAATATGGGGATTTCAACAATGGTCACTCCTGTTTGCACTGCATCGAAATGAGGAATCTTGTGTTGGATTGGAAAATAGATAATGCTCGGATTTACACTTTACTTTACAATCTTGCATGGTTTAAGGTGTCTTTGGTACCGAAATTGTTTTGTCCTAAATTTTTATGTGATGTTCAAAATGATAATAATAAGTAAAAAAAAAAAAAAAAAATTAATATAATAATTTGCATTGTTATATTTTGGGTTCAGTAAACATGGGATTCTGGATTCTGATCTGGTTTATGCAGTTATTTAATCTGACTTCTGATTTGGTTTTTGCAGTTATTTAATCTGATTCCTGATCTGGTTTATGCAGTGATTTAATCTGGATTCTGATCTGGTTTATGCAGTGATTTAATCTGGATTCTGATCTGGTATATGCAGTGATTTAATCTGATTCCTGATCTGGTTTATGCAGTGATTTAATCTGGATTCTGATCTGGTTTATGCACTGATTTAATCTGGATTCTGATCTGGTATATGCAGTGATTTAATCTGGATTCTGATCTGGTTTATGCAGTGATTTAATCTGGATTCTGATCTGGTTTATGCAGTGATTTAATCTGATTCCTGATCTGGTTTATGCAGTGATTTAATCTGGATTCTGATCTGGTATATGCAGTGATTTAATCTGGATTCTGATCTGGTTTATGCAGTGATTTAATCTGATTCCTGATCTGGTTTATGCAGTGATTTAATCTGGATTCTGATCTGGTTTATGCAGTGATTTAATCTGGATTCTGATCTGGTTTATGCAGTGATTTAATCTGATTCCTGATCTGGTTTATGCAGTGATTTAATCTGGATTCTGATCTGGTATATGCAGTGATTTAATCTGGATTCTGATCTGGTTTATGCAGTGATTTAATCTGATTCCTGATCTGGTTTATGCAGTGATTTAATCTGGATTCTGATCTGGTTTATGCAGTGATTTAATCTGGATTCTGATCTGGTTTATGCAGTGATTTAATCTGATTCCTGATCTGGTTTATGCAGTGATTTAATCTGACTTCTGATTTGGTTTTTGCAGTTATTTAATCTGATTCCTGATCTGGTTTATGCAGTGATTTAATCTGGATTCTGATCTGGTTTATGCAGTGATTTAATCTGATTCCTGATCTGGTTTATGCAGTGATTTAATCTGATTCCTGATCTGGTTTATGCAGTGATTTAATCTGGATTCTGATCTGGTTTATGCAGTGATTTAATCTGACTTCTGATCTGGTTTATGCAGTTATTTAATCTGGATTCTGATCTGGTTTTTGCAGTGATTTAATCTGATTCCTGATCTGGTTTATGCAGTTATTTAATCTGATTTCTGATCTGGTTTATGCAGTTATTTAATCTGGATTCTGATCTGGTTTATGCAGTGATTTAATCTGGATTCTGATCTGGTTTCAGAGGCGCTGTGTTGGCCCATGCTGCTGTCTACTTTCAGTCACTATTCTCTCTTTCACCTGGCGGCCAACATGTACGTGCTGTGGAGTTTCTCTTCAAGCATCATCAACATGATGGGCAAAGAGCAGTTTGTGGCAGTCTACCTGTCCGCAGGTGTGTGTGTGTGTGTGTGTGAGAGTTCTCAGTCAAAAACCATCCTACTCTCTAGAAAACTTCTGTGTTATTGGACTTTAACTTGATTGCTCTTTTATGACGTTTTTTCACTTAAGGACTTTAGTAAGATTATGCCTATGATTTTTTTTTATCATATGTTAATAAAAAATTTTTTTCTTATAATATGACTTGTTGTGTTTGTTTGCTTGGTTTTATTGTATTTATATGATATTTGTATTTTTGTAATTGAATTTTTGCCTTGAAAATAGCCTTAGCTGCTGACATGGCATTAAATAAAACAATCTTATTATTATTTTGTTATGTTCAATGTGATATGTTATGTTATATGTTTATGGTCTCAGGTGTGATTTCTACGTTTGTCAGTTATGTGAGTAAAACAGCGATGGGTCGGTTTGGTCCATCACTGGGGGCGGTGAGTGTTTTTTCTGATGAAACATTTCAAGTATTCATCAGCATTCATATGCATGTGGTGAACAGATTGTTGTGTTGTATTGTGTCAGTCAGGGGCCATCATGACCGTCCTAGCAGCTGTTTGCACCAAAATGCCTGAAGCCAAACTGGCCATCATCTTCCTCCCAATGTACACCTTCACTGCCGGAAACGTGAGTGTGTGTGTGTGTGTGTGTGTGTGTGTGTGTTCGTGTGTAAGAGCCAAGGTTATTACAGTTTTGCATTTTTAAATTAGTTTTTATGTCCTATAAATGTCAGTTTAGTTTTAGGTAGTTTCATTAATAGTTTGTTAGTTTTAGTTTAGTTTTTATTTTGTGAACATATTTCTATTTAGTTTTTGTAATTATAGTTTAGCAGAGTTAACAGAACACTTCCACTTTCCATGATTATTATGATTATTCTTTTATGGTTATTTCTATTATTAATCCTTTCAAACATTATTCTTGTATTGATCAATTTATGCTTTTTGTCTATTGCATCTTTATTACTTACGAAAACGATTATTTATTTTTGCTAATTATTTTATTTCAGTTAGTTTTTTTCAGTAACTGTTGTTAGTTTCGTTTAGTTTCAGTTTTTCATTTGTGTTGAAATTTCAATTTTCTAGTTTACAAAAATGTTTTTTTGACCAATAGTTTTAGTCTTAGTTTCAGTTTTCGTTTATGAAAATACCGTTGGTGAGAGCGAGAGTTGTGTTTCTCAGTGATGATGGGCGTATTGTCATGCTCTTGTCCTCCCACAGGCACTTAAGGCCATCGTGGCCTTGGATGCGACAGGCTTGATTCTGAGATGGCGTTTCTTCGATCACGCCGCTCATTTAGGTGGAGCTTTATTCGGCATGTGAGTAACACGTCACTGTCTAGCTGGCGCTTTTGCTGCCGTTTATAGCGTTAAAGCAAAGTGCGGTTTTGTTATTTTTAAGTAAATCTATTAAAAATTGTTTTCATTATTTGAAATAAAGCTAAAATAAAATTGAAATATTAGATAAACAACAGTTTCAGATTTTAATTTCCTTTGGATTTTTAAACTGGTTTATGTAGTTATCTAATCTGGATTCAAAACTGGTTTATGTCCAATTTAATCTGGATTCTGTTCTGATTCATGCAGTTATTTAATCTGGATTCATAACTGGTTTATGCCCAGTTTAATCTGGATTCTGATCTGGTTCATGCAGTTGTTTAATCTGGATTCATAACTGGTTTATGCCCAGTTTAATCTGGATTCTGATCTGGTTTATGCAGTTATTTAATCTGGATTCATAACTGGTTTATGCCCAGTTTAATCTGGATTCTGATCTGGTTTATGTAGTTATTTAATCTGGATTCATAACTGGTTTATGCCCAGTTTAATCTAGATTCTGATCTGGTTTATGTAGTTATTTAATCTGGATTCAAAACTGATTTATGCCTAGTTTAATCTGGATTCTGATCTGGTTTATGTAGTTATTTAATCTGGATTCATAACTGGTTTATGCCCAGTTTAATCTGGATTCTGATCTGGTTTATGCAGTTATTTAATCTGGATTCATAACTGGTTTATGCCATTTTTTAATATAGATTCTGATCTTATTTATGCAGTCATTTCATCTGGATTCATAACTGGTTTATGCAGTTATTTAATCTGGATTCATAACTGGTTTATGCCTAGTTTAATCTGGATTCTGATCTTATTTATGCAGTCATTTAATCTGGATTCATAACTGGTTTTATGCAGTTATTTAATCTGGATTCATAATTGGTTTATGTCCAGTTTAATCTGGATTCTGATCTGGTTCATGCAGTTATTTAATCTGGATTCATAATTGGTTTATGCCATTTTTCAATATAGATTCTGATCTTATTTATGCAGTCATTTCATCTGGATTCTGATCTGGTTCATTCAGTTATTTAATTTGGGTTTTGATTGGTTTATGCCGTTATTTATTAAATCTGGATTCTAATCTGGATTATTGAAAAAAGTTTTTAATGAATTGAAATAACGATCAAATCCGATATGGCTTCACATTGTAATTACCTTTGGATTTTAAACTGGTTTATGTAATCTGGAATCAAAACTGGTTTATACCATTTTTAATATGGATTCTGATCTGGTTTATGCAGTTATTTAATCTGGATTCATAACTGTTTTATGCCTAGTTTAATCTGGATTCTGATCTTATTTATGCAGTCATTTAATCTGGATTCATAACTGGTTTATGCAGTTATTTAATCTGGATTCATAATTGGTTTATGTCCAGTTTAATCTGGATTCTGATCTGGTTCATGCAGTTATTTAATCTGGATTCATAATTGGTTTATGCCATTTTTCAATATAGATTCTGATCTTATTTATGCAGTCATTTCATCTGGATTCTGATCTGGTTCATTCAGTTATTTAATTTGGGTTTTGATTGGTTTATGCCGTTATTTATTAAATCTGGATTCTAATCTGGATTATTTATTAATTGAAAAAAGTTTTTAATGAATTGAAATAACGATCAAATCCAATATGGCTTCACATTGTAATTACCTTTGGATTTTAAACTGGTTTATGTAATCTGGAATCAAAACTGGTTTATACCATTTTTAATATGGATTCTGATCTGGTTTATGCAGTTATTTAATCTGGATTCTTATTTGGTTTATGCCGTTATTTATAATATTTAATCTGGATTCTGATCTGGTTTTTGCAGTTATTTAATCTGGATTCTGATCTGGTTTATGCCGTTATTTAATCTGGATTCTGATCTGGTTTATGCAGTTATTTAATCTGGATTCTGATCTGGTTTATGCCGTTATTTAATCTGGATTCTGATCTGGTTTATGCCGTTATTTAATCTGGATTCTGATTTGGTTTATGCAGTGATGTAATCTGGATCCTGATCTGTTTTTTTCACATTCAGTCACTTTTTTATAAATAAAACATAAAAAAATTGAGATGAAAATTATATATGCTGGCTTGGCAATATAATGAAGTTGAAGTACTAAAATTACTCAAATTTAAAATCCAATAAAAAACGACAAAAGCAGATCTCAAAATTACTAAAACTTTAACTAAAATTTAAACAAAGACTGAAATTATAAAAATAAAAGCATATTCAAAATATTAATACTATATAGTATATAATACTATTTAGCATATAAATACTATTTAAAAAATACAGGCAAATTATTTGTATGCACTGAAATCTGAGACCCTCCCCTTAAAAAAAGTGTTGCATTTTAGTTGTGTTTGTTTTAGTTGACCACTTGATGGCTCTTAATGCCACTCATGCAAAGACGAGCATGTTTATTCTGTCTCTGTGCTTCACATGTCCATGCGTCTCTCTTTCTTTCTCTAGCTGGTACATACTTAGTGGTCACGAGCTTATTTGGAAGAACCGAGAGCCGCTGGTGAAGTTGTGGCATGACTTCAGATCGGGAGGACCGGGAGCTGGCGGCAACGGCTCGATTTAGAGCACTGCATTGTGGGTAGACACTGAGCAGGTGACCTGAAGAGGAAAACAAGTTGGAGAAATGGACACACATGTTTATTCTGTGTGAGAGAGAGTCTGTTTTCAGTTGTCACTGAGTGACGGTAGTATTGCGGTGATGTCATTATGCCCCGCCCCCGTGTTTAAATTTAAATCCAGGTAGCTCCACCCACTTTTCTAAAAATGCAAATTATCTGGAGGGGCGGAGCTTCAGCAAACAGCTCAGCTCTAAGCTGCGGTGCGTCTCAATGACACTGAAACGGGCCACTCAACAACACCATGTACAGAAATTTAAATGTTTCAAATAGTCTGTAATTGTCATTTAAAAAATAAAATGATTATTTAAAATTCAATTTTCACTGTCATCAGAAATTTACCAGGTTCGAGTGTTTGTTTTATTTGCTGTAAGTGTGTAATATGCTCTACTTAAGTTTTGTTTATTTTCTGTGTTTCAGATGAGACTTTGGTCCCTGTTAAATGTGAATGATTAACCAGGTTTCTCTATAACACACACACACACGCACATGTATGCTATACATCTCATCAAACACGCACACACACCGTAGAAACGGTTTCAGTGTTGTTTTCTCGAATCGGTCAAAGTTCAATAACAGTCATGGTATCATAATGGCTCATGAACAATGAGTCTGTCTTCACTTCCCCGTGTTTAATGAAGTCACTGTATCGCTCGTCTCTTCCTGTTTCCCAGTTATCGATGGTTAACTTCCGTCAAAACGCTCTGATCTTTCACATCCCCGAATCACACCTCACTCTTTCTGTTGTTGTCGGGTTTTTATTTATTTAATTAATTACACTGTTTGAGTGAGTAAATGTGACTTTGGGGTTAAAAATGATCCATTATCATAAGAAATATATTTAGCAAAAAAGAAAATGACTTGTAAATTATGCTTTTTTTTGTGGCTTTTTCCGTTCAATTAAATAAAATAGTCTACTGTTCAAAAGTCTGGGAACTGTACGATTTATTTGATTTTTTTGTGAAAGAATTAAAATAATTTTTATTCAGTAAAATTGATCAAAAGTGACAGTAAAGACATTTATAAAGTTGCAAAATATTCCATTTCAAATAAATTGTGTTCTTTTGAACTTTCTATCCATCATCAAAGAATCACAATTTCCACAAAAATATGAATATTGAAAACAATGGCCTCAAATCATCATATTAGAGTGATTTCTGAAGGATCATGTGACACTGAAGACTGGAGTAATGATGCTGAAAATGAAGCTTTGATCACAGGAATAAATTACACATTACTATATATTCACATAGAAAACAGTTATTTTAAACTGTAATAATATTTCACTATTTTTACTGTATTTTTGATCATATAAATGGTGAGCATGAGAGACTTCTTTCAAAAAACATTACAAAATTTGACCAACTGCTGTGTACTTTCTAATTGACTTCTTAAGTTTATTCCTTGAGTACTTTAATTTTTTAATAATTTTAAATTTATACTTCTTAAGCACTTGAGTGGAATAAACCCTCATTTATTTGATCACAAATGGTCTGTTCACCAATGATGATGGTGTAAATGTGTGTGTGTGTGAGAAATCAAGAAATCAATGTCCCTGAATTAAGCGATTAGGCTCATCTCTAAAGAACGTCACCTGTCTGTCTCCCTTTCCCCATCTTTCTAATTTGGGGAGGGTTTGATGTTTCAGGGTTATTGACCTAAAGCCAATATTAACACAGTGACACTCTGCCCCATCACTGCTACATATAGACCGAAAACCTTGTTCAAGAGTCACAATTTCAGAAGAAACGTGACAAGCTAATTTTTATTGTAAATCAGGTCACATAGTCCACTGAGAGCCAAACAGGTGCGTAAAAATCTTCATTTTTCATCGAAATAATGATCAATAGCATTATATGTATGTATATATGTCACTTTCAATTCATAAAGACTTTAATAAAGAATTAATAAAGAAAAATAGCTTTTACAGTGAAATCAGTCCATGACTAGAGGTTATACTATATGATTATGGACTAAAAGTACTCTATAACATAATTGAATTGAAAGTTTTCTTCGAAAAGCTTTCGAAGAAAGCTTTTCTTAACACATTAAGAAAACACATTAATGTGTTTTCTTAACACATTAACATGTTTCTTAACATGTTTCTTAACACATGTTAAGAAACATGTGTTTCTTAACATGTTCATAACATAGGTAAATAACACTCAAAACATTAAAACATTTCTTTGCGCGGAATAACCAAACAAACAAACAAACAAAAATTCTTTTTTTTAGCAGTTTTTTATTAATTTTTTGGAGCAATATTTTTTTTTATGCATTTGGAGCGCAACAATTTCTCTAGTATATTTGCTTGAAATAACATTTAACTGAAAAAAATAAAATAAATAAACTTATATAAAAACTAAAATAAATAAAAAATACCACCACCAAAAAAAAAAAAAAAACTAAACTTATTTTATTTCAGCCAGTTTAACTTGCTGTACCAAAACTATATGGTATAGCATCTTAATGATACTAAAATAACACTGGCTCCTATTATGAGTGAATAGTTAATTTTATGGATGTTATTAGATAGATAAATTCATAAGTTAAGCACCACATGATTTGCTTTTATTTCACAAGAGTTTGAAGTCCAACGTTTGGCCAGTCATGATTAGAACTGAATCCGAACTGCTCACTCTAGAAATGCCTAAACGTTCTATAATTCTATTGATAATTCTATTTAGAATCACAATTCTATGAAGAACCTCCACGCTGAAGTGCTTCTTTATGCAACATACGGCTCATGAAACACGTTACTGAGATGTTATACGGATATGAATGTGTTGCACATCATTTTGAATAATGGGAAAGTGTTCACAGGTACAAAGCTGTCTCTGAGGCAGTGTTGAAAAGTTATTAATATTAACACTTAAAGTACTAATACGTGACCCTGGACCACAAAACCAGTCACATGACGCATGGGTATATTCGTGGCAATAGCCAACAACACATTGTATGGGTCAAAATTATCCATTTTTCTTTTATGCCAAAAATCATTAGGATATTAAGTAAAGATCATGTTCAATGAAGATATTTAGTAAGTTTCCTACCGTAAATATATAAAAGATTTATTTGTGTGAGTGAATGCAGCACAATCGCCAACATAAATGCACAACTTTAAAGACTTTCGATTTTTTTGCACCCTCAGATTCCAGATTTTCAGATAGTTGTATCTCGACCAATATTGTCCTATCCTAATAAACCATACATCAATAGAAAGCTTATTTATTCAGCTTTCAGATGATGTATAAATCTCAATTTCAAAAAATTGACCCATGTTTTGTGGTCCAGGGTCACATATACAGGTGAAACTCGAAAAATTTGAATACTGTGCAAAAGTTCATTTTTTTCAGTAATTCAACTTAAAAGGTGAAACTAATATATTATATAGACTCATTACATGCAAAGTGAGATATTTCAAGCCTTTATTTGTTAATATTTTGATGATTATGGCTTAGAAAACCTTTTCACAATATTCTAATTTTTTATTTGGGGTTTTCATAGATGTAAGCCATAATCATCACAATTATAACAAATAAAGGCTTGTAATATCTCACTTTGCATGTAATGAGTCTATATAATATATTAGTTTCACCTTTTAAGTTGAATTACTGAAAAAAATTAACTTTTGAAAATCAATTTTTCGAGTTTCACCTGTATGTACCTTTAAGGTAGCATGTATTATGTACCATTTTGGGGTAAATAAGGTACAAAGATGTACCTTTTCGCATTTGTACATTGGGATACTGCCTCAGTGACAGCTTTGTACCTTTTTTCTGAGAGTGTTGAAGAAATGTTAGTATGTAATTGTGATCGACGTTTCAGTAACACTTCAAAGGTCTTTATATTGAGGCAAGACACCATTGCACGCACCAAACTTCACTATTATTCACTGAAGGGTTGTTCATATATCATACGCCTGATTTATATAACAACATGGTGAAATGTTTTTGGTTTTTTTTGCCAATTGACAGTATTTTCTAATAAAATAAAGAGATATCCAAATAAAAAATCCCTTGAAAAATGACTAATATGTCAACAAAACGAAACTTCAGTTCTCTAGATTTCAGTTCTCAAGATGTATGCAAATTAATGCATATTAGAAAATGCCTCATTTGCATATTTAAACACATAATCTTGTAATACAAAATGTATAGTCCTAATGCACTGTGATCAAGCAACTGAGAAAGTATGATGATATCCATAGTTAAAATTCGTATCCTGCTATTCACCTGTTGTGTCTTTCCTTAAAATAAGGAGTGAGATATTTCAAGCCTTTATTTGTTATAATTTTGATGATTATAATTATGATAATTCAAAATTAGAATATTGTGAAAAGGTTTTCATAAGCTGTAAGCCATAATCATCAACATTATAACAAATAAAGGCTTGAAATATCTCACTTTGCATGTAATGAGTCTATATTAGTTTCACCTTTTAAGTTGAATTACTGAAATAAATGAACTTTTGCGCGATATTCAAATTTTTCAAGTTTGCAAATTTGTGTTCTGGAGCTTCAAAGACCAATATACTGATCCGAAGAAGCGTCAAGTGCCATATATAGCCCAAAAAATAACGTTTTTGCTGAACCTATCCATTGAAGAAGCTTCATTTTAAGAGTGTGCACATGCTTATCTGTATAAACTGAGTTAGTTTGTGCAAACATTATTACAAATGTCATTGCATGCACAAGTGTTCATTACTTCAATGAGCTCATTAAATCATTACATTGTTTAAATGAATGCATTTTTCGCTAACTGTGCACATTTCTGAAATGCATAACTTAGACAGTTTCCTCAGATAACAGACTCTCTGCTTTGAGATGATGTGTATTGTGAAAGCGCTGTACAAACACACGTGAATAGAGTTGATACACACGTCTTCCTCTCTCTCAGGATGGCATCGACGGTCTTCCAGCTGACGGGATTGCTCCTGGGCCTCGTCGGCTGGTGTCTGGAGTCCAGTTGTGTGAACTCAGCGGTGTGGAGGAGAGGCAGTCACGCTGAAGCCGTGTTGACCTCCAGCTCGTACTTCGAAGGACTGTGGATGACGTGTGCGTCTAACTCTCTCGGGGCCGTTCACTGCCAGAGGTTCAAGACCATCCTGGGCCTTCCAGGTGAGACTAACCCTGCGTCTCAATGTGCATATGTGACCCTGGACCACAAAACCAGTCACATGGGTCCATTTTTTGACATTGAGATGTATACATCATCTGAAAGTGAATAAATAAGCTTTCTATTGATGTATGGTTTGTTAGGATAGGACAATATTTGGCAGAGATACAACTATCTGAAGATCTGGAATCTGAGGGTGCAAAAAAATCTTTAAAGTTGTGCATTTATGTTGGCGATTGTGCTGCATTCACTCACACAAATAAATCTTTTATATATTTACGGTAGGAAATTTACTAAATATCTTCATTGAACATGATCTTTACTTAATATCCTAATGATTTTTGGCATAAAAGAAAAATGGATAATCTTGACCCATACAATGTGTTGTTGGCTATTGCCACGAATATACCCGTGGTTGGTTTTGTGATCCGGGGTCACATATGTAGATTTAAAAAATCTTTTTTTCCCCTTATTGTTAATTAATTTGACCAGACACCAGTTATTTTGCCAAGAGATATCTTATTTATTTTACCATTTTATATAAGACATAGGAAGGAGTGACAATGGACCAAACAAAGGTCTTCATTTCAGCATTTCAGTCAGATGTAGTGACAAGATGATTGACAGGCCAGTTTACAGTGACAAGATGATTGACAGGCCAGTTTACAGTGACAAGATGATTGACAGGCCAGTTTACAGTGACAAGATGATTGACAGGCCAGTTTACAGTGACAAGATGATTGACAGGCCAGTTTACAGTTACAGTGACAAGATGATTGACAGGCCAGTTTACAGTGAAAAGATGATTGACAGGCCAGTTTACAGTGACAAGATGATTGACAGGCCAGTTTACAGTTACAGTGACAAGATGATTGACAGGCCAGTTTACAGTGACAGGATGATTGACAGGCCAGTTTACAGTGACAATATGATTGACAGGCCAGTTTACAGTGACAGGATGATTGACAGGCCAGTTTACGGTGACAAGATGATTGACAGGCCAGTTTACAGTGACAAGATGATTGACAGGCCAGTTTACAGTGACAAGATGATTGACAGGCCAGTTTACGGTGACAAGTGACAGGATGATTGACAGGCCAGTTTACAGTGACAAGATGATTGACAGGCCAGTTTACAGTGACAAGATGATTGACAGGCCAGTTTACAGTTACAGGGATAGGATGATTGACAGGCCAGTTTACAGTGACAATATGATTGACAGGCCAGTTTACAGTGACAAGATGATTGACAGGCCAGTTTACAGTTACAGTGACAAGATGATTGACAGGCCAGTTTACAGTGATAGGATGATTGACAGGCCAGTTTACAGTGACAATATGATTGACAGGCCAGTTTACAGTGACAAGATGATTGACAGGCCAGTTTACAGTGATAGGATGATTGACAGGCCAGTTTACAGTGACAAGATGATTGACAGGCCAGTTTACAGTGACAAGATGATTGACAGGCCAGTTTACAGTGACAAGATGATTGACAGGCCAGTTTACAGTGATAGGATGATTGACAGGCCAGTTTACAGTGACAAGATGATTGACAGGCCAGTTTACAGTGACAAGATGATTGACAGGCCAGTTTACAGTGACAAGATGATTGACAGGCCAGTTTACAGTGATAGGATGCGACAGAGAGCAACCGTTAAAGACGCAATTGTATGACGTGTTCGTTTGTCCCAAAGCTTGTGTACTCTACACTTAAAAGTATGTACTTTTTTCTTCACAAAAACGAGTGTGTATGTTTAGGGCGCAGTATAAGTAGGCGGATTGAGACGCAGCCCTGATGTGGCCTTCGCTCGCATTACATCACACTGGTGTTGGTTTCAGCGATACGGTATCATGACGGGTTTACTGCAGCGCTGTGACTCAATCCTGTGACAAAACCAGGTTAAGCTAGTCATAAAAACTCATAAAACACCCACACACACCTTTCCTTTAGAATATGGCAAATATAGTGCTTCAAATGTGTGCTTGAGTGCAGTTTAACTGAGGATTGTTGGGCAAAAATGATATTTAAACCATGCATTACTCACCCTCAAGCCGTTCGAGATGCATATGTCAATCTTGTTTCAGACGAACACATTTTCAGTTATTTTAGAAAATGTCTTAGACCCTTCAGTGGATATAATGTGAAGCAATGGGGTCCACCTCCTTCAAGTCCCAAAATGTGCATATATCCTTCACAAAAGTAATCCATCCGGCTCCAGGGGGATAAACGAAGGCCTTATGAGGGTAATCCGTGCGGTTTTGTCGTAAAAATATACATATTTAAAACTTTATAAATTAAAATATCTGACTTCCGGCAACGATCGACGCACGTTCACGGGTGATGTTTTGCTCTGCTCTCTGGCTGCGCGGGCGCGTTCGTTCTACGTCACGACGCTACGTAATACCTCGTACGCCGACTTCCATCACCCGTGAACGCGCGTCGATCGTTGCCGGAAGTCAGATATTTTCATTTATAAAGTTTTAAATATGTATATTTTTACAACAAAACTGCACTGATTACCCTCATATAGCCTTCGTTTATCCCCCTGGAGCCGGATGGATTACTTTTGTGAAGGATATATGCACATTTTGGGACTTGAAGGAGGTGGACCCCATTGCTTCACATTATATCCACTGAAGGGTCTAAGACATTTTCTAAAATAACTGAAAATGTGTTCGTCTGAAACAAGATTGACATATGCATCTCGAACGGCTTGAGGGTGAGTAATGCATGGTTTAAATATCATTTTTGGCCGAACTATCCTTTTAACTGAGGAATGTTGGGCAAAATTCAGAACTTAAGAACTGGGTTCTTTTCAATTCACTTGATTTTATTTTATTTGATTTTTATTGCAAATGAAAGGTTACAGACATTAACAGTGAGAAGAAAATACATAAAACAAAACAGGGGGGGGGGGGGGGGGGGGGGTATACGGACGTCATCAGAGAATGAGTTAGGCTACACAAATCAATACAATATTACATTTTGTCAATATGAAAAATTAAAGGTTCCTTATAACAAACATTTTAGGAAGGGGAATTTACTTAAAGGAGTTTGCTAAATAATATATATATATATATAGTATTATTGGTAACTATTCATTTTTTCTCAATTATTAAATTAAAGCTAAAAAAAAAAAAAAAAAAAATATTAGTTCATGAAATACTTAACTTAAAGTCTAAGACTTTAAAGTTAACAAAACCTAACAAAAGTTCTTTAACCTAAAATATTAGAACCTAAAAAAGGTTCTTAGGTCCTTAAAATTAAAACAAAAGCTGAAATAAAAATAAATTAATAATAAATAGAAATATTAAAAAGAAAAATGGCAACTGTACACTTACTAAAATGTGAGCTGATATTAATATTAATACAAAATATGAATAAATACTATATATAAATAATAGTAAAATAACACTGATCTGTTGGACCTTCAAGACTACTTAAACGACATGTATCCAAGTAATTAAAATATAGTTCATTCAGAATCAGTGTGTTTAGTTTGACCCTATTACACACACACACACACACACACCAAAAACCCAGTGTCACCTTATGAAAGGTCAGAGGCCTTATATATTTTAGGGGTCAAACTCTAGCTTTTCTCTCTTAAGTCACATGTCACTTCCTATATTGACTTCCTTCGTCCTCATGGTGTTATCTAGTAAAGCAATATAGGAGGGACCGGAGTTTATGGTTTTATGAGTCTGATCATGACTCTATAACACACTGGCACACTCAAACACACTCTCACCCTGGGATCGGTGTGTGTGACCTGTCGGCTGGTGTGTTTGGTTGGATATTTGATCATGTCGACTGGGATCCAGCTGTTGGGCTTCCTGATGTGTTTGGGGGGCTGGTTGCTCTCCCTCATGTCGTTGTTGAATGATTCGTGGCGTTCGTCGACGTTTGCCGACCAGCTGATCACGTCTGTGTGGTACGATCAGAACCTGTGGCAGTCGTGTGCCGAGGGGAGCACCGGCGTCAGAAACTGCAAGCAGTTCGAGTCTATGCTCTCTCTATCTGGTAACACACACACACACACACACACATACAAGAGTTTGTGTTCATATTGCTTGCAAAATTGCTTGTTTTATATATTTCGCCCCAAAATCAAAAGGAAAAATTGGAAAATAGATTTTGCATGATGTATGATGGGATTGCTTTTATAATTTTGATTTGCAATTTAAAATATATTATTTAAAAGGATTACATAAAAAAAAAAAAATACTATCGTGACATAAATACTGCATTTAACCCTCAGGTCATTTTTTGATTCATTTTTTTATTTTTTACTTCATCGGAATTGTAGGAAACTTGGTAAAGGTAAAAGGTTAAATGGTCCTGTAATAAATAGTCACACTTTTATTGTTCGCGGTCAGAAATTACGCATTATAAACAGAAGTGTAGTGGTAAAAAAAGACGTGGGTAAACTATAAATTCTGGTGGACCACGACGTGGTCACCCGGTAAGGTGGGACACTGCCTACCGGTGTATGTGTATCCTGATGACATTGCAGGGCTCGACATTAAGCCTTTTCATACGCTTTTCCTTCTTCGAACAAGTAAATCTGTCATTCACTTGTCCGAGTAAAAAGGTTTCTCGTCCGGATTTTTTTTTTGTTTTTTTTTGTTTTTTGTTAATTGATTCTGAAACAATCAGTGTTCAATCAGCTTTGATATTTAAATTGGCATATTGTAATATCTGCACCTTTAAAGGGCATCCCCTCCCCCAATATTATTAAATGTATGCTTCATCTTTCATTTTAAATTCCTAAATTTGATCAATAAATTCAATAATTTCGAATAATAAGACACTATAGGGCTGATCAAATTAAATCATTTACACTGAAAAATTACAATTGCATAAAATAATGTTATGAAATTGATTTGAATGTACAAATAAGAAACGTTGGAAAGAATGATCTACTTTTAAACATAACACGAAACCGCCAATTGGTGGCGCCCGTCTTAATGAGTGAGTCATTGATTCATTCATTCAAACGATTCGTTCAAACGGCTGATTCATTCAAGAATGAGACTGAGACAGATGTTTATGAATGGGTCATTGAATCTTTGACTCAATCAATTCGTTCAAAATGCTGAATCATTCAGTAATGAAAACAGTGAGTGTTCCTGTGAGATGCGCCGTGGTTCTGCTGTGATTTTTGTTTGGAACTATTTTCGCTGCTGAAACAGAACAAAGACAGCCAATATTTCATCTAAAATGTAAGTGACTTAATTTTAACTGTTTATTGAACTGTTGTAGGAAATCAATGTCACATTTTCAATCGTGATGGTGTTCAGGAAAAATAATTGAGGTTGCTTAACATATTATGTTAAAAATATAAAAACTCCACATTTAGATATTTTATAGGCAGTAGGCTATGTTGTTAACTGAGTGCGTGTGTGCGCGCTCATTTGTGTAGGTTACTCCTCAGGCCGCGCGAGCGTCAACAGCGCAACCTTGAAGTTCTGACCAATATTATGAAGCTGCAGACTCGGAGCCTGCATCTACAGTCCCCGACAGTCCCCCACCGAGAGTCCCGCATTCTCAGACCCCTCGTTTTTCGAACACAGCGCCTCCTGCTGTTCGAAAGATCGTATAACACCCGCACACAGAGTACAGCGCACGCTTATCCAAATGCAATTATAAACAATAGGATGCAATATTACGGTCTCCAAATAAATGATCCAATAAATATTTGCGTTCCCTGCTTAATGCATGTGCCAAAAAAAACCTCATTGCGATGGAAGGGATAGCTACAATTACAGATTGAACTATCTTCTGAAAAATAGTATGTGATATTGTATTGCTACAATGTTTTTTTTAATCTTTTTTTTTATTCAAATTTCAATTTTTCTTTCAGTTCAACCTATAATGGTCTAATTAACATTACCATGCTAACATTACAAAATCTGTTTTTTGATATTTTGAATGCGAAGCAAAACAAATCAGAATAGACAAAACACCAATAATAAACAATTTTGTACTTTATTTAATGATCACCTAAACATCATCTTGCTGTTTAAAAAAAAGGAAGAAAAAACTGTGTTCGTGACTTTACTTTTCGTCTTCAATTGCATTAAAAAAACTAATTTATAAGTCGCTTTGCATAATCATAAAATGATATGCTGCTGGGTTCGGCAGGGGCGACTCCATCGATGTATGGTGTACCCTGGAATAGCCTCCAACAGTATAGGCCCGATAGCACATGTCTTATGATGTTTCAAAAAGAAAGAAAAAAGATGTTTGCAAATGTTACCTTCATGTTGCACTGCTCTGTTGAAGTGTCCCTTGAGATGTTTTTGAACTTTGGACAACTTTGTGGGTTTGAAATATGAGGGGGCACAAAATGGGCAGTGAAAATCACTGCAGCATTTATGACATATCTACAAAAAGTCCAAGGTTAAAGGCTAACGTTAGCTATCAAAATATTTTCGGGGGGAAGAGGGCGAAATACATTAACGGCTCAAATCTTGTTACAAACTATCTTTACAAATATTAAATGGACTATTCATATGTTGTATCGATGAGCTAAATTAGTTTTATTTAAAAATAAATCAAACGAGTAGGCTACTACGATTCGCTAAATAAAATTGAAGATAGCCTACTCACGTTTTGGCTTAAGTTCTTCACATGTTCTTCACATGTTTATCCGATACAATTTGATAGGAGGCGCTGTCTCGAAAAACGAGGGGTCTGAGAATGCGGGACTCTGGGTGCAGGGGGACTGTAGATGCAGGTCTCCGAGTCTGCAGCTTCATACTACTCGTTCTGACCGTCAGTAATAGTCAACAACACTGACAGTAATGCAGCGCAATATGAAATAGTTCGTCTTAGGTTTAACAACCTATGAAACTAATAATGAACAATATGAAACTAAAACAACAAGCTTGATTTATAGCTATTTAGAGGTGGATAAACGCACGTTGGAGGTGGATAAACGCTATTTCCGAATATTAGGAGGTGCCTCCACTACATCCCTGAATATAAACGAGTGTGAGTCGAGTTTCCTCTAGTGGAAGCGTTCGGTACTGCAACATCTCACTGAACGCTCGTTTACTGACATATCAGACGCACATTTTGAACTTGTTTAGATTTATGGCTTTGATTTTCTCATTTTTAGAGTAAAACGTATTTTGGAAAATATATTTTTCATGTAAAATTGAAAATGGTATTTTTGCGCATTTTTCATAATAATTATAATTTCATATTTCACTTTTTAAACTTGT